ACCTGAAGAGAGAACCAATCCGTCTTTTTCAAAGCACAGATTATGGTAATGAAAAGTCCGTCTCATATGCCTACATAGTCGAAATGTAAGGAGGTGAAGCATAAGAAAATGAAATAAAATAGGTGAGGTTGTCTTCCTAGGTCCAGTCATTTTGCAATCTGGATAGATACCTTTTCCTTTCCGTGGCGGTGTCTGCTGCTAATATTTGCCATTCCTTAAGGTATTTCAGGGCCATTTCCAGAGAATGAATGTTGACGGATTTGCCTTGATAAGACACTATCAACTTGGTAGGGAAACCCCATTTATATGCAGTCTTATGATTCTGAAGAGCCTTAGTGATCGTAATCAGCTTCTTTCTGTTTAAAATTTTAGCTTGGGAAAGATCCGCAAAAAGTGCGATCCCTGTAAATTGACTGGGTAAATCTGTTTTTTTCCTCGCTGCTTGCATAGCCTGCTGCTTGATGTGATAATAATTTATTCTGGCTAGAACATCTCAAGAGATCAAGTCAGGCAGATATTCTGGTTTGGGCAACCTATGAGCCCTGTCAATGATTAGTTCATATTCCTGTGCTTCTGGAATCAAGATTTTGAGTAGTTGTTGCAAAAATCCCATTAGCCGTGCAGAGGGGAAAGTTTCAGGTACCCCATGAAACTTTTATTTCTTAAATCTATCTTCTAGGTTGGCCATTTTCATTTGGATTTTTTATAAATCTACTTATTGTTCCTTACATACCTCCACAATAGTATTGTGAGTGGAGAACACATCGTCCATCTTATGTTCTATTTGGGAGACTATTTGTTGTAAATTATGCACTGAATCATTGACCTTGGCTAGAATATTAATCATATCTGTATGCAGAGTATCACACAAGGAGATTAACATGAGTTTAAGATCACTAACGGAGACAGGCTGAGAAGTAGCTGGAAACTATTCTAAGGCCGTTTGTGGCTGTATGGGATCTTGTAGTTTAGTGTTTCTGGAAGTTTGCAAAACAGGGGTTTCTCCCTGTTTAGCTTTTTTTGTCTTGGCTGGACTTCTAATAGTGGGGCTGTCAGGAGGGTTCAACTCACCCTGTGCAGACAGAAGACGGTGAACAATCGAGTACACAGATGATGCCGATCTGTCTGAGGAGGAATCCTCTATGCTGTCCTGAAGTGCAGGCAGGCCGGCACCATCTTGGGTCCCTTGATCCCCCACAGGGGAGAAGAAAGTTGTTAGTTTAGAGATCGTTGGCCGCTGCAAACCCAGTATTGGGCACCGTACCCACTGCAGAACATTAAGGGTGCTGTCAGTGGTTCACAGGGGATCTCTCCTTGTCATTTTGGAGGTTGCTAGGCAGGCTCTGGAGCCAGAGCTGTCTGTTACACTTCTGTTCCAGATGTCATTAGGACACGCCACCCTCAACACACACATTATTTAACCACTTGCCTACTGGGCACTTTTATCCCCTTCCTGCCCAGACCAATTTTCAGCTTTCGATGCTATCACACTTTGTATAATTTTTTTTGAGACAGATATTTCTTTTGGTGGTATTTAATCACCACTGGGTTTTTTATTTTTTTCTAAACAAACTAAAAAAGACAGAAAATTTGGGGAATAAAAGTTTTTTCTTAGTTTGTAAATAAGTAATTTTTCTCCTTCACTGTTGTGCGCTAATGAGGCTGCAGTGATGGGCACTGATAGAAAAAGTTTTTTGGAATTACTTGTGAGCCACAGGAGTATTAATTGTAATTATTAGAAATGTTCGCTGGCTCCCATTCACATCCTCTTATACATATGTGATAAGGTGACTATAAATGAAAATATAGGTGCTGCGCCATGTATTTAGGTAGATATCTATTGGATATAATAGCTATATATGATGGTGTAATTTAACAAGAACAATAATGTATATTATACCCTAATGTGTAGTCAGCACAGTTGTAAGGATTTTATACACAATATCAATTCAACTGTATACAAATAATGTAAAAAATGTGGATTAAGAAATCATTAAATTATAAATCATAATAATAAAATAAAATAAAAATAGGTGTCCAAAGTGAAAAAAAACTTTTGTGTCCAAAATGATGAAAAAAGTCCAAATATTTAACTGCTTGCTTTTGAAAAAGCTGTATTTTGATATTTGCTTGAATAAATAGCTCTTATATGCGCTCACCTTCCTAAGAGCCTATTGCTAGGCTAACATAGCTTTCTGGAAGGAAATATGGTGTAATCCTCTGGGATGGGATGAGCTGACAGCTCTCCTATGTGTTCCTGGATTCACTGCTGCTACTGATCTCGTGCAGGAATGTTGGTCTCTCCTCCCTCACACTGCTTGAGCCATCTCCCTATTTCTTCTCATTAGAGCAGGGGGAAGAAAGAGAAAATATATGGTGCTTTATCGTTTTAAAAGATTTATTGTGTGCCCATACTATGCACTCACATGGTTAAAAACAGTATGCACCTTGTTATATATAACCGCTGCCTGCGGATGTGACCAGCCTCCTCAGTGTGTCTGCACACACTGTCAATACTCGCCTTTCTAGAAGTCAGGTACGTGGTGATGTCGATGCCCCTCCCCACACGTTGCGCCACAGGGTCACGTGGCTTTGTCTAGGGGCACTGATAGGCTGCAGTGATGGGCACTGATAGGCAGCACTGATGAGGAGGCACTGATGGGCATTGGCAGGCTAATTGGTTGGCACCACTGATAGGCACTGAAAGGTAGCACTCATATATGGCACTGACAGGTGGCACTAATAGGTGGCACTGACTGGCACTTATAGGCAGCACTGATTGGAACTGTTAGACGGAACTGATGGGCACTGATAGGTGGCACAGACGAACACTGATAGGTGGCACTGATAAGCAGCACTGAGTGGTGGCACTGATGGGCAATGATAGGTGGAAATGACTGGCACTAATAGGCAGGACTGACTGGCACTGATATTTGGCACTGAAAGGTAGCTCTGATGGGCACTGACATGTGGCATTTATGTGCACTGATGGGCACTGGTATGTGGCATTGATGGGTACTGACAGGTGGCAATTATGGGCACTGCCAGGTGGCACTGATGGGACTACACTGATTACACTGTTCAACAGGTAAAAAGTTTTGGGCATAAAATTAGCTAATCTTACATAATTTTGGGGTGCTGAAAACGAAAATGACCCTAAAAAATGTTGATTGGCTCTAGTTTCCATGATATATTCACCCATCTAATGACGTAAGCCATTCAAAATTATGATGCAACTTCAGCTGCATATTGCGCAATTGATACTGGTGACCAATAGAAAATTGCATGTATACTGAGATGATGCAATATTAGCCTTTAATTGCATCACTTCACTGCATAAAAGCTGCAGTATCTGTAGCTGATTGTAGCTCGACAGCGTCTTTACATTTCGTTTTATGCTTATATAGGCTACTCAGTAATGCCTCGAACTTGTGTGAATAAAGCAGATAATTTCTGCTATATCTGCGGTGAAATAACTTTTATCTCACAAAAAAGGAGGATAACAGGAATGATTAAGAAAGCCTACAACTTGTATTTTGGCTGCAAGATAGGAGACCAGGACAAGAGCTGGGCACCACATATATGCTGCAATTCTTGTGGGACGGCACTGGAGCAATGGTTGAATGGAAAAAAGCCATCTATGCCTTTCGCTGTGCCAATGATTTGGAGAGAGCCAACAGATCATGTTAGTAATTGTTACTTTTGTATGGTGCCTCCAATTGTAAAAGGGCTAAATAAGAAGAAAAAGTTATCTGTGCACTATCCAAATATTCCATCGGCAATACGTCCAGTTTCCTCATGGAGAGGGGCTACCAATTCCTAAAGCACCAGAATCCTTCGTGGTTGAGTCAAGTGAGGAAGAACCTGAAGCGTGTAGTCACGTGCAGTTGTAAGAGATAGCCCTTTCCTCGAATACAAGAGAAAAGCCAAGAGAAGCAAAACCGACACAAACTGAAGACAAAACTAGTGAGAATCCTAAGTATTAAAATGATTCAACTTAGCTTATGGCTATAATTTTTCTTGGTAATCCTATGCAATATATTATGCCATTTAGGCTTTGTTATGTAGTCAATATCACTTGCTTTATATTTGTGGAAAGACATCTATCTATATAATTATTGTGCATTATGTAGTCATTACGCCTATAGTAGAAAACTTTCCGTTTACAGAAAAACTAGAGCCAATTGACAAATTTCATTGTTATATTTGAACTCAGAATGTGAAATTCATTAAGAAATGGATCCTTTTGTTTCCAAAACTGGCAAAAAATAAAAATTTGTTGAACAGTGTTATCAGGACACTGATGATCAGTGCCCTGGTGATCAGTGTACATGTCCTCTCTCAGGCATGCCGCTTACCAGCTCTCCTAACTGATAACTGTCATTTCCTATTTACATGCGATCAGCTGTGATTGAACACAGCTGTTCACATGGTAGAGCCTACATCATCGGCTTTTTACTGTGATTGGTGATCCACTGTGTCCCAGCACACCACCGATCGCCACACGCATGTGCAGCTAGGGTGGGAGGATGTCATATGATGTCCTCCCAGAACGAGAAAACCGCCGACCTTCCATCATTTCCTTATATGGCGGGTAGGAGACAATTAAAATTTTGGCCAAACAAAGCCACAGGTAAATACAATAAAAATAAGTGAAATAAAATAAGCACTTAAATCTATTACAAAAAATAAACCTCCTGTAATCTCCTTAACCACTTGCCTACAGGGCACTTATACCCCCTTCCTCCCCAGGCCAGTTTTCAGCTTTCAGCGCTGTCGCACTTTGAATGACAATTGCGTGGTCATGCAACACTGTACCCATATGAAATTTTTATAAAATTTTTATAAAATTTAGTAAATAAGTGATTTTTCTCCTTCACTGATGTACGCTAATGAAGCTGCAGTGATGGGCAATGATAGGCTGCAGTGATGGCACTGACAGGTGGCACTGATGGGCACTGATGAGGAGGAACTAGTAGGTGGCACGGATGGGCATTGGCAGGCATCACTGATGGGAACTGAAAGGCAGCACTCATATATGGCACTGATAGGCGGCACTGATAGGTGGCACTGACTGGCACTGTTAGGCGGCACTGATGGGCACTGATAGGTGGCACTGATTGGCACTGATAGGCGGCACTGATTTGCACTGATAGGTGGCACTGATAGGTGGCACTGACTGGCATTGATAGGTGGCACTGACTGGCACTGATAGGTGACACTGAAAGGCATCTCAGATGGACACTGATAGGTGGCGTTGATGTGCACTGGTAGCCACTGATATGTGGCATTGATGAGGCACTGATGGGCACTGGCAGGTGGCATTGATGAGCACTGACAGCTGGCATTGATGGGCACTGACAGGTAGCACTTCTGGGGCCACACTGATCAACAGGGCACACTGATCATCAGTGCCCTGATGATCAGTGTACATGTCCCCTCCGAGGAATGCCGATTCCCTGCTCTCCTCTCGAGCTGTCAGCGTGATGCCAATAACCAGCATTTCCCTATTTACATGCGTTCAGATGTGATTGGACATGGACACAGCTGATCACATGACCGAGCCGACATCTTCGGCTCTTTCCATTGATCTGTGATCCGCTATGTCCAAGGGACACAGAGCACCACCGATTGCTGCACTGCACGCTCCTGGAGCCGCGCACGCACAGTTAGAGTAAAAGGACATCATATGACGTCCTCCCAGAACAAGAGAACCGCCTCCCAGAACAAGAGAACTGGCGGGTGGGAGGTGGTTAAATATTGCAGCACTTTTAAAGCAATTGCAGGTTTGTCGAAATAACACTTTTCTGAGCAGAGAAGAGTGTAGAGTGATGATCTCATCAGTGTGCTGTTGCTTCTTTATTGTCCAGTCACAGGTTAGGGTTTGTCCTAAGCCATGCTGCTTTGCTGAACTGTCTGCAGAGATATCAGGGAATTTAGGACCTGACTATGGACCCTGGCAGTAGTGTCTGTATCACACAACTGGTTAAATGAAATTAAACATCTTTTGACAGTTATTACATACAATATTAAAATATTTCAACCGTGCATTCACCTTTTTCCCTGTATTTCAATTTGAAATGTCTTTCAGCGAGGGTGATACTGTAGTTCATCATGTTTGATATAAAGACATCAACTAGAGGAAATTTCTCAAATTGTTATACTTGTTACAGGAATGGAATTTTTTTTCTAGAGTTTTTAATACACATTGATTGCAGAAAAAGGTAAGAAGACAAGCCTACACATCTATCTACCAATCTATGCCTGCTTCATAACATTGACTTTTGTACTGGAGGCAGCGTAGGGTTAGTGATGATTATGTGCAATAATATCAGTGCACACTGACTTCTTGAAATAAGTATGTACTCATCCAAACCTTTCCAAATCCAATTATTCTAAACCCAATCCTGAACATATATTCTGTATATAAAACCAGCACTGTTCTCCATGTTCCTCTAAGAATTTGAATATCATGCTTGGAATTAGTGGCACTTCCTAAACAAATTGACATTTTATAATGTTATATGTATTGCATTCTTATAATATATGGTTTAATGTGCTTATATATTAGGAAAAGAGAGTCAATGTTGCAAATGTATCCTATGTTTTCAAGTAGTAAGTCTCAAATGAACACTGCAGCTGAAAATGTTAAACATACAAATAATTGTATTCTGTATATTTTCATCTTGCATAACATTTGTATTATTCTGATATTCCCAAACTGCATTCCTTAAACAATAATTAAAATGCCTGAACTACCTTCACAGTACAATGGTTAGGAAACTGCAATGATGAATAGTACACACAAGGAGCAATAACTTTATACAAATGCATTGGAATTTTAAAATAAATATGTATATTTTGCCTGAACAATTCACAGTAGTCTAATGAGACATGGGGGTTGATTTACTAAACACTAGAGAATGCAAAATCTGGTGCAGCTCTGCAAAGAAACAAGTCAGCTTCCAGTTATTTTGTCAAAGCTTAATTGCACAAGCTGAAGTTAGAAGCTGATTGGCTACAATGCTTATCTGCACCAGCTTTTGCACTCTCTAGATTGATTAACTCAACCCCTTTGTATAGCAAATTATAGATCAAGATTAAAACTCCAGAATATGTATATTTATGATAACCTTTTAATGTCTTAAATAAGTGATTAATATTTAACCTCTTCACGCCGACAGTACATAAATATGTAGCCTCTCGGCAGCTGGGAGTTGACGCCGAACAGCCGCATATTTGCGTACCATCTGTAAACAAAAACGTGCGCCCTGTGCACTCCCAGCACTTGTTGGTGTCCCATGGAAAGGTCCTGATCTCTCCTTGCGATCACGAACTTTCCGATCATGTGACTGCCGTGACAGCCAATCATGGCAGTCACATGACCCTAAACCCTGCCCCACCTCCCGACATCAGAAACCCCTTAATGGGCCAGGAGGCGCCGGCGTGAAAGGGTTAAATCATTTGAGGTAGAAATTAGAGATGGAAGCTGATGGTTTTTAACTTCTATACCCAATGCTAGTTCCCATGACAAAGCCTTTTCAGAAAATGTATGTTTTAACCTGGAGCTTTTTACATGAATACATTTCATAATCAATGAGGTAGTGGAACTTTATAAAGATGGAAAAGATGGAAAAGGATATAAAAATATACCTAAAGCCTTGAATATGCCAGTCAGTACTTTCAATCACTTAGTAAGAAGTGGAGAATTTAAGGATCTCTTGATACCAAGCCAAGGTCAAGCAGACCAAGAAAGATTGCATCCACAACTGCCAGAAGAATTTCTTGAGATACAAAGAAATAAAAAAAATACAGGTTGCTCTGGAAAAATACAGGTTGCTCTGGAAAAAGCTGGTGTGGCTGTTTGAAAGAGCACAATACAACGATACTTGAACAAAAATAAGCCGCAGTGTCAGAAAGTTACCAGAAAGAAGTCTTTACTGCGCCAATGCCACAAACTTTTTTTTAAATAAATCACTCAGCAACTTATAACCTAAATAAAAACTCATATAGTGAATATCCAACTACTAATCCCAAGAAAAAGTCACACTTTAGCCCTTGAAAGCAAATACTAATATTCAAAACCTTTTTCTTTTCTTTAACTTAAATTATTAAATCAAACCATAAAATTAAATATAAATAAAATAAATAAAATTAAATATAAATAAAAGTCCCAAATAATTAAATACATTTCCAAGTCCAACAAAATCTCTCAATCCTGTGTGTCCAACTTCAATATTTCTATCATTCCGGACCCAGTGACTACATCGAAAAAATTAAACTAAAATAGTGTATTACCTTCAAATAATAAGTATATACCTTCATATTAAATAAGTATATACTATATTCTGTGCAAAATGAAATAGATTCAACTGTGAGTAACATGTGAATCGTGCAAAATCACTCTGTGTACACTATAAATAATCAAATAAATAGTGACAAATTGTGTACACTCAAAAAAAAAAAAAAAGTTGACTGGAAAAACGTGTTTTATATTTCAGGAAGCTGCTGTGGCTGAGTCATGGGAATCTATCACTGAATGTTCAAAGTCCCTAATGTAAGATGCTATATTAAATGATTTGGTACCTATTATATTATGCTACATGGGTTCTTTTCTATCTTTTATGAGGATGATGGTGCATTAAAGGTTTATCCTACATACAGCTATTGAGAGCCTGAAAGTGGCTATTAAACATCTGAATATCCCTTAAGGCTTGATATTACTCCATGAGGGTAATTGTATGCATTCTCGCCATATAGAGGTTGTCACGGAGTGTTCACTTTTATTTTTTATTTATTTATATTATTTGAATTTTATTATAAATATATATATATATATATATATATATATATATATATATATATTGCTTAAAATTGATTTGGTTTGTTTATTTATTTAAATTTTTTTTAATATAATTACATTTTATATTGTATTTCATTTATTTTTCTTTTTGAGTGTACACAATTTGTCACTATTTATTAGTTTATTTATAGTGTACACAAAGTGATTTTGCACGATTCACATGTTACTCACAGTTGAATCTATTTTATTTTGCACAGAATATAGTATATACTTATTTATTTTGAAGGTATATATGTAATATTGGAAGGTAATACACGATTTTAGTTTCATTTTTTCGAGGTATTCACTGGGTCCGGAATGATGGAAATATTGAAGTTGGACACACAGGATTGAGAGATTTTGTTGGACTTGGAAATTTATTTATTTGGGACTTTTATTTATATTTAATTTTATTTATTTTATATATATTTATATAACAGCTTCAACTCTTCTGGGAAGGCTGTCCGCAAGGTTTAGGAGTGTGTCTATGGGAATGTTTGACCATTCTTCCACAAGTGCATTTGTGAGGTCAGACACTGATGTCGGACAAGAAGGCCTGGCTCACAGTCTCTGCTCTAACTCATTCCAAAGGTGTTCTATCAGGTTGAGGTTAGGACTCTCTGCAGGCCAGTCAAGCTCCTCCACTCTAAACTTGCTCATCCATGTCTTTATGGACCTTTCTTTGTGCACCAGTGTGCAGTCATGTTGGAACAGGAAGAGGCCAACCCCAAACTGTTCCCACAAAGTTGGGAGCATGAAATTTTATAAAATGTCTTGGTATGCTGACGCCTTAAGAGTTCCCTTCACTGGAACAAGGGGACCAAGCCCAACCCCAGAAAAACAACCCCACACCATAATCCCCCCTCCACCAAACATTACACTTGGCACAAGGCAGTCAGGCAAGTACCATTCTCCTGGCAGCTGCCAAACCCAGAAAAATCCATCAGATTGCCAGAGAAGCATGATTCATCACTCCAGAGAACACGTCTCCACTGCTCTACAGTCCACAGGCGGCGTACTTTACACCACTGCATCTGACACTAGCATTGCACTTGGTGATGCAAGGTTTGGATGCAGTTGCTCGGAAACCCATTCCATGAAGCTCTATGCACTTTTGTTGTGCTAATCTGAAGGTCACATGAAGTTTGGAGGTCTTTGGCTATTGACTTTGTGGACAGTTGGCGACTTCTCTGCATTGTGTGCTTCAGCGTGCACTGATCCCGCTCTGTCATTTTATGTGGCCTACCACTTTGTGGCTGAGTTGGTGCTGTTCCCAGCTGCTTTTACTTTGTTATAATGCCGCTAACATTTGACCGTGGAATATTTAGTAGCAAGGAAATTTCACGGATGGACTTATTGCACAGGTGGCAACCTATCACAGCACCACACTTGAATTCACTGAGCTCCTGAGAGCGACCCATTCTTTCACAAATGTTTGTAGAAGCAGTCTGCATGCCTAGGTGCTTGATTTTATACACCTGTGGCCATGGAGGTGAGTGGAACACC